TAAGAGGCAGGATGGTGGGGAGGAGGGCATAAAGTGGGGCCATACGGGGAGAGCAGAAGGGAGAGATCTAGAAAGACCTTGAAGGACAGAGGGAGAAATAGATCAGAGAGAACACACGCAAACCTCGAAAGGCAGAGGCGTGGAAAGGAGCAGGGTGGAAACCTGGGAGAGACCCTCAGAAGGGCCACCTTGGCGGTGAGCAGGGGTTCGGGGTGTTGCATGCAGCTCCAAAGGTCAGGAAACATTTAGATACTCCAAGGGCCTCTCCCTGCGCACCTACATTTGTCTCCACTCCCGCCTGGCTCAAGTGCCCAGATCTTGCTCATGGCACCTCTGAGTGTGGCCCTCCCCTGCTAAAACGCCTCCCGTGGCTCACAGAAGCCCTACCCCCCTCCCCACCCCTAGCTCCCTCCTTCCCATCCAGGCAGACAGGGTCCTGCAGGGCAGGTCCACACCAACCCCTGTCACTGACTGCTCTGCCATTGCCTCACTTTCTCCCTCAGCCTTCACGGAACACCTACTGTGTGCCACTGAGGGTTCTAAGCTAAGCTCTGGGAATTCAGGAGTGACCAAAAGGAACAAATCTCTATTGTCACATAAAGAATTCATATCAGTGGGGAAAGTGGAAGACAAGGGAATCTTTGTGGACTTAAGTTGTCCATACCAATCAATGCTGTGAAGATAAAGCAAGCAAGAGCGGGGAGTGGCAGTAGGGAGTGTGGTGGCTCTGGGGACAGTGTGTTTGGGCAGAGGAAAAGGCCCTGAGGTGGTGGTGGAGGTGGGGAGACACAAGGCTCTGCCCACCTGCACTGGGTCCAGAAGTTTCTCTTTCTCTTAAAATGGCTAAGATCCTGGACACAACAGCCTGGACCGTCCTGAATCAGAAGGCAGATTCCATGGCTGTGTGTCCTTGGGCGAGTCACTTTGAGTTTCAGGCCTCAGTTTCCTTATCTGTGACACAGTCCTTCCTTCGTGGGTATTTTCAAGAATTAATTGAGAGGTGCAGCGAGGCCCTTAGCCAAGGCAGGAGCATAACAGGTGTTTGGCAAATCACAGCTGTTTATTGTTTGTTATCCTGATGACTTGCTTTCCCTTTCTGATTATTTTTGGCTGCTCAGAATGGGACCAAGAGCTCTGCCAGTCAAGAGCAGGAGACTAGGCTGTGGCCTGCCTTGTTTTGTGACTTTGACCATTTTGTCCCTTCCTGGGGCTTCATTTCCCCCTCCGCACAATGGGGAGAGAGCGACATGATCTAGAGGCCTCTGGTTTCACTGCAGCATAGCTTCTTTTTGTTTTTCCTCCAAGCCACAAACACCCAGCTGACTTGGGGAGGAGGGCCACGTAAATATTTCAGACAGCAGATGTACCTAGCTGGCCTGGAATGTGAATCTTTACTGTGTCACATCCTAGTTATAGTTCATATTCTGAGGGTGTTTTTCTCTTGGGCTGGGGAATCCAGAGGTCCTCCCAACCCCTGCTGAGCCCTGGAGGCCAAACCAGGAGGAGTAGGTGAGCCTGGCCCTGGGGGGTGGGGTGCTCAGTCCCCTCCCCAAGGGCAGGAGGGTGTGAGGGAACAGGGCCGGGTCAGAGTCAGATTCTGGGACCTGTGGGATTCTCCAGCGCTAAGGACATTAGAGCCATTGTATGGACGCGGAAATCGGGGCAGAGACACTGTTGGGGACTCTCACACCCTGGATGTACCCAGATTCCCTGCTGGAAAGACCCTTGGAAAGGGGGATGAGGCCTGGAGAGAGGAGGGGTCGGATGAGGGGAGAGGCCTTCCAGAGGGATTCACGCAGGGGACAGGGTCTGAGAGAGGGGCGCTGGGTAGTCAGAAAGGGATGGGTCTACTCTAGTCCCCGTAGCTTTCCTCCCCGCAAGTCCAGTGCCCAGGGAGCTGGGAGCATTGCTCCCCCTCCTCCCTCCTTCTCCCTGAGCTCTCTCCCCGAGTCTCACCGCCCCTCCTCCTCCCTTCTTTACCTCTTCCCCCTCCCCCTCCCTCCCCTCTCTTCTTTCCTCCCCCTTCTCTACCCCCTTTTTTCCTAACCCCCCTCCTCTCCATTCTCTTCCCCTCCCCCTCCACCCCTTCCCTTCTTTCCCTCTTCCTCTCCTTTCCTCCCCCTTCCCTGCTTAACCCCCCTCCTCCTCCTCCTCCTTCATTCTCTCCCCCTCCCCCTTTCCTCCTCCTCCGGTCCCTAACCCCCCTTCTCCCTTCCTACCGCCCCCTCCACCCCTCTCTCCCGCCTCATTAGGCGCGGCCGCGGCGCGGGGCCCATTAGCGGATCAATTAGCCGAGGTCGCCAGCGGCGCGTCGTTAAGCGCGGGAGACCGCGGCTCGGAGGAAGCTCCGGTGATGGCACCTCCGTTCGCCCGGCTTCCCGGTCGAGATCGCGCACGCACCCCTCCAGCCCCCGCCGTCTCCCGGATCCTTTCTAAACCCCCGAGAGGACCTGCTCCGCGGGTGGGATGGCGGCGATGGAGGGCTCTGAGGCCCAGAGGACGACCCCAGGTCACAGTCCTGTCTTTGGCTGAGCAAGACCCTCCCACCTTCCTCAGAGAAGACCCTTGGGTGGGGGCTGTCAGGTTTGTGACCCCCCCCCACAATGCCTTTCATCAGCCAGCAACATCCGTGATGATAATAATATCAGTTGACAGCTAGTGAACCTTAGCAAGCTCTCTGCTAATTCTCCCAACAGTTTCCGAGAAACTGCGATCAGACAAGTGACTTCATGCCTCAAATCACTACTTAGGGTAGGAGTCGGGTACAAACCCAGGTCTACCCTCAACGCATTTGCTAAAATGTATTGAGTTGCTTCTGCGTGCAAATTTCAAAAATATAAAAATGCACCTGACAGTCCCCATCCCTTTTCTGCTTTGTTCTCTATCAACAAGCCTCCTGATACATTTTGTATTTCCCTTATTTGTTTATTCCGCCCGGGAGGGCAGGGATTCATGTGTTTTGTTCCCTGCTGTGTCTCTGGAGCTCATAGTTGGGTCTCTAAATGAATGAATAGACTGTGCCAGGCTCTGCTCTAAGCACTTTCCATGTTGGGGTGGGGGCTGTCACTCCCCTATTTGCGGGGAGTGTCAGGGGGAGGCCTTCAGAAAAGTAACTTCGGGGAGTCTTGCAGGGTTAGAAAGCTGGGGAGGGAAAAAAAGAGAACTGCCTAGTTTTTCGAGGCAGAGGGAACAACATGTGCAAAAAGGCCTCTAGACAAGGAATAACAAGAAGTTTCAGCCTGGCTGCAGCCTGCTGAGGAGGAACAGTTGCAGGATCTGCTGGGCCTCAGTGAAGAACTTAGAATGTATTTTGCGGGCAATGGATGCCAAAAATAATATATTTTTAAAAAATATTGTTTTAACTTGTGAAATATAACACACAGAAGAGCAGATTATAAGCGAACAACTTGATGAATTATCTCCAAGTGAACACACTCAGGAATCAACCCCCAAGCTGAGAAACAAAACATGACCAGCCCCATTAGGAACCCCCTTCACTCTTACCCCTTGCCAAGGGTAATCAAATGAAGTCACTTGGTCTTGGTATTGTTCTTTGTATAGATGGAATTACACAGCATTTACTCTTTTGTACCCAGCTTCTTTTGTTGAGCATTATTTGAGAGCTGCATGGTGTAAAATGCAGCAATAACACCTTTTTCATGGCTGTGCAATATTCCACGACACAACTATGTCACAACTTATGTATTCTGTGCTTACTAAACAGCCAGTAGTTTCCAGTTTCGGGCAATGATGACTAATTACAGGGATCTGAACACTTTTTGGGCAGACTCAAGTGGTATGTCTGTTGGGGGATGGATCCAGAAGGGGCATTGCTGGGTGCCAACAGCCTTCCAATACAGATGTAACAACTTACACCCCCCAAGTGGGGTGAGGTCGGGTTTTCAGCACAAGGATAAACATTAAGCAGTGAGTTATTCCATCACATTGACGTTTTTTAGATGTGCTTTGGCTGCAGTGGAGAGGTGGGACCCAGCAGGAGGCTGGTGTGAACACCCACTAGCCTCTCCCCTCTTAGTATCCTTTCTCTCCTTAGGGACGTAAGATATTTTCCCTGAGGGCAGTGGGCCATCACCACCCTTCTTACCATCCCTCTCTACCCTTGCCCCCCTCCCAAGGGAACCCACTTGATTAGGGAGGCAGATGAGAATTTCCTGCACTTTAAAGTCCCTTGGGCGCTCCAGCTCCAAGGTTGGGATTTCTGTGCCATACAACCCTTGCAAAGCTCTTGTAGAGCGGGAACGGCTGCCCACCCTCCCCCCAATCCCATGCCCATCCAGGCCTGTATCAGGAAATCTCCTTTCCTTTTAGCCCTGGGTAGTATGGCTTGGATGTGGTGGGGAGGGCCTTCAATCTGCTCCTTGGAGAGTCAAGGTTCAGCTGGGGGTCTGAGTTTTCTGACCTGGAAGAAGGGTCTGTGTGTGATACACACAGTGGGGGGAGATCCTGCAGACTCGAAGAACATTACTTAGGAACCCTCTGGCCTGCTGCTCAGAAACCAGCTCTGCTAAACCTCTAGCACCTGGGCTGGCTGTGTGACCTATAGCTTCCAGTTGACCCTCTCTGGTCTGTGCATCAAGTTCAGGAGATAGACTACACTTAAAAGATGGACTCACCTAGGACTCTCAATATTTGGTCCTATAACAGAGGGAGCCCAGACTTGAAAGAAGTCCCCTCCTCCCAGGGAAGGGGGAGCCACAGGCAGCTGCAACACAGAGGCAGGAACACAGCAACCAACCTTCTCACATCTTTATTTGAAAGGCACAGCTAAGCCCACCCTCGATACAGCATTTTCACTTCTCTGCAGAGTTCAAACGACTGAACACAACAAAAGCTGACAGTCTAAAAGGCTATATACAGACACAGGTGTGGGTGTTGCTTTTTTTTTTTTTTTAACATTTTTCTGTCTTTTTTTTTTTTTTTAATCCCCTTAAAAGACAAGCTAGTATACTGGAAGAAAAAAAAATAAAAAACAAGACGACTTGAGTACCCTCATCTTTATTTGGGAAAGGGAGAAGGGGAATCTTGGGTTGCCCACCCCCACCCTGCTCATCCTGACTGGGCGAGTAGAGAGGACCAGGTGGGCATGAATGTCTGGAACTAGCAGAGGTGAATGGATGGGAGGTGGAGGGAGAGAAAGGGATGCCCAGGGCAGGAAGGGGCAACTAGCATTGTGTTTGCATGCAGTGCCAGGGTGGGAAGCTGGGGTGTGCCCTGAGGGGGCCCAGCGGGCAGACTGTCAGTTATACGTGTGCGAAATGGGGAGGTGCAGGGGGTGTTAGACTTCTTGAGGTTTTGCTCCCTTCTGACCTGGCCTCCCCTTTTCGCCTTCAGGCCTCAGCTTGCCTTATGTGTGGTACAAGCAGGTATTCACCCATTCAGGCTGCAGGGGGGAGGAGGAAGGAGACTGGGAGCCAGAGCAAAGCTAGGGGGTGGCACACAAGCAGGGCTAAGGCCCCAGCAGCTACCATAAATACTACCAGGAGATTAGCCAATCCAGAGCTATACTGTCTTGCGGTGAACATTCCTCTCTGCGTGTGTCTTGTCTCCTCTTTGTCCCCCCCGCCCTCCCCACCCTGACCACCCGCTAATCTGACTTCTCCCCGTCGTCCTCCTGGTGGGTGTCACCATCGTGCCCGTTCTTGTCTTCCTTGGAGAGGTGGGCCTGCGAGCCCAGCGCAGACAGCGAGAGGAGGCCAGTGCCTGCGCTGACCGCCGGCAGTGAAGGCGGCTGCAGCCCCACGGGTAGTGGGGTCAGGGGCAGGGCCAGAGCCTGCAGCTGGGACAGCTGGTGGGCTTGGAGCTGCTGCTGCAGGGCAGAGAGAGGGGGATGTTAGCCACTTCCAGTTGCCACCTGCCATAACCCACCCCCTATGCGCCATCAGGCCCCAGACTTACTCGAATGATGGAGTTCAGTTCTGGAGCCGTGACTTGCTTAGCTCTCTCAATGGCTCCCAAGACTTGCTGTTGGTGCTGGCAGGAGAGACGCCAGAGAGGGTTTGTGTCAGAGCCCAGGGGAAGCTCCATTCCCATCTGGCCTCCCCCAACCCCCACAGCTTTCCATCCTACTAGAAAAGCCTCCTCTCTCCAGCCACTTCTCTCACCAAGTCTTTTCATCTGGAAAATGGGGACAAATGGAGATGCATAGAAGACCCAAAGGGGTTGGGGACAGATACTTAAGAAAAGGCCTTTGGGTGAGTTGGAGAGAAATCATGTCCTATCTGATGCCACGTGCAAAGACAAGCACAGAGCACAACCTGGCCTACCATACAGGAAAGTCCTGTTCTCCCAACAGCTCGGAGACTGTGCTGTGAGATCTGCTAATCCAAGCTCCTGTCCTTCCACAGCTGCGCAAGGCCAGTGAAATTCTGGCAGGGCTGGGGCATGACTCTAGGTTCAAGGAGTATCTCCCATCTTTTCCCACCCCTCCCTTAAAGTCAGTCTCTCCTTTTTGCCCTATTCCTTTGTGCCCTGGCTGCTGGGAAGCCGCCAGGGCCTCCAGAACCTTCTTCTCTGGGGCTTTATGGTGTTTTTCTGGAATGGTCCCTATGCATGCGCCATCACTCAGAGGTCCCTGATACATGGGGACGGATAAAAGAGGAAATGATGAGTTATCGATAGTTAACCTGGAAGAGAGCAGGAGCTTGACCTTAGTCTGGCGGGGCACCGGTGTGGGGCCTGTGTGGAGTGGGCCTTATACTGAAAGTTTGAGAACCCCAAAAAGCTGAAGAGGAAGAGCTGGGTGCCCAGTTCCCCTGGGTGAGTGCATGTGTCCATGTGTGCCTCTGTCAAGTGCACATATCTGTGTATATTTTCATCTGTATGTAGCTGTCTCCTGTGTAAGTGCCATGTCCAAATTTGTATCTGAGCATGTGTGTGTATCTCTGTAGGTGTGCACAAATGTGTATGCATGCTGCATCTCTGTTTATCCATGTCTGTCTGTCTTCATATGTGTGCAGGGTGCCCTCCCCACACTTGTTCCTTGTCCCTGGCTCAAAGCAGCCCACAGGGTCTCGCAGGTGAATCTCAGGAGAGTGGACGGTGGAAGCAAAACAAGGAAAAAATTTCTTGGTGCAGCCTTGGGCATAGCTGACATTTTTACAGTGAAATGACTCACTCAGGCTAGGAATTCCACAGCAGGGTGAGGCCCCTCCTTCCATGGCCCTGCACCCCTAGGGGTTCTCCAGCCTGGGGATTCTTTTGCACAGGCTGTCTGGTAGCTGGGAGGTCCAACAAGGGGAGGCATGTGCCCTGGGGCATCCAGCTCACTGCTGTCCCAGGTGATGTCAGCTGGGAGGGCCCAGAGCAAGTTCATGGTCCATCTACCTCCTCCTCCTACTCCTCCCCCTCCTCCCTGAAGCCCCAGGGACACTACTCACCTCTTGGGAAAGGTAGGGGAGGACCTGGGCACAGATCCCATTCAGCCTCTTGACAATTTCAGCCTAGAACAAACACACAGACTCTTCAGTCCCCAGTCCTCTCGCGTGGGCACAGGCACAGACCAGCCCAAGAGGCCTGAGGTTCTGCTTAAGAGGGATCAGCTCAGGCAAGGCAGAACCGACCCAGGGGGCCCACCGGCACCTAATCAGCGGCAAAGGTGGGATCTGAGGCTGGTGCTCTGCCCTGCAGCTAACGGTGCAGGCACAAGCTGGAATCCAGACTGGGCCACTCTGGGTCTGGGTGGCTCTGAGCAGATGACCCCCAGAGCCTGGTAGGTAGTAAGCACTCCATGGGAAGGAGGGTGGGACAGTGGCACCATTATTCTGTGATATCCCTGATAATGACCTCCTCAGGGCAAAGCAAAGCCAGAGGGCAAGGGGCAATCTGAGAGTTACACGGAGTGTAGGTATACATATCACCTTCCTGCCACTGTCATAAAGGAGAGACAACAGGGTGGTGGTGGCATATGAGGGAAGGCTTTTGCCCCTCCGCCTCAGGCAGAACAACCTCCCAGGGAGGCCTACAAAAGAAGGGGGGTGCTCGGGAGGGAACAGGATCACAAGGGCAGACTTGGTGTTCAGCCAAGGGGCGGGCTCCTACCTGCCTGGGGGTGCCATGGAGAGAGCGAGAGGGCGTACCTGCTTGTGCATCTCAATGTTCAAGCCATAGGACATCTCGTAGTACTGCATGAGGGGAGACAGAGAAAAAGAAATGGGGGCGGGCGAAGGATGGGTGAGCTCAAGAGACAAAGAGATGGGAGTAACTGAGAGAGACAAAGGGGGAGGCAGAGAAGGGGAAAAAGCAAGACAGAGACATGGAGCAGGAAGTGATGGAGAGAGGCAGGTGGGAGGAGACAGGAGGGGGAAGACACCCACACCAGGAACAGCCCAGGTGCCTGGTGGGGCTGCCCACAGAGCTGGGGGAGCTCTAGGCCCTCAACCCCAGCCTGGCTCCCTGGTTTCTCGAGTTAAGTATCCAGCTCCACCTCCCCCCAACACACACACATTCCAGGGCTCCTAATCTTTTATCTTTATGTGTCTTGTCTGCGGGTGGCCCCAGACTGAAGGGAAGTTTGCCTTCCTGGGTATAAATAATGGAAGATAAACAAAGCCTGCTGGGTTTGGCTCCAGAGCCAGCAGCCCCCCTCCCCACGGCCCAGATCTAACCCTGCCCCCTCCCCGGTTCTAAACCCTCTTACAGCTTTCCATCATGGGCCACCCCTAGACAGCCAAGTCATTCCTAGGTCTTTGCTTGGTCATTTTCTCCCCCCAACCCAGGCAAGCTCCTACTCATTCTTCAAGACCCCAGGGGCAATGCCCCATTCTCAGAGCAGCCTTCCCCAGGTAGTGGCTCGGGTCAAGTCCCCCAGTCCCTGCTGGGTCCCTCTCTGCACAGCTCCCTCCCTCTGGGGCTGGGAGCTTCAGTCTGGCCCTGCCTCCCACGCAGCCTGGGAGAGCCAGCCTAGGCACTGGGCCAAGGTAAGAGTTTTTGATGCAGAAACTGCCACCTGGTGGGTATGAAACAGCAAGTGATTCTGGCAATGTGGATGGGCAGGGTCTCAAATGTCAGTCCGAAGAATGTCTTGTTACCCCCTCCTTCCCACCAAACTCAGAGGGTGTCAGCCTTCTGGAAGGTGGGTGGGTGTGTGGGTGTGTGTGTGTGGGTGTGTGTGTGGAAAGCCTAGGAGTCCTCTTCCCAAAGCTTGGGAGAGGAGGGGTTAAGCACTGGGATGCCTGCATCTTGGGGGCGGGGATCCGGCTGCTCCCCCACGTCAGTTCCTGGCTTCCACAGCCACTGCCTCTTCTACTGGCTGCCAAGGACAGCCAGGGGACCTGGCAGGCCCAGGCTGCAACCCGGTGGTTTGGCACCTCCGCCACTGCCTGGGCCAGCAGCCAGGCCAGCAAGGTGGACCCTGAATCCTCACACTTCCCAGAGGAGGCGGCTAGGGTTCAGGCAGGAGCTGCTGGTGGTGGAGGAGAGCCTGCCCGCCCCATGCCTGCCCATTTGCCTCGGCTTGCTCACCATCACATAATGACGCTGCATCTCCGACTTCTCACTGGCCAGTTTGTCACATTCGAGCTTCAGGCTGAAGAAGAACATGGGGAGAAGGGGTGGGGGCTGGGCTGAGCCTCAAACTTTGACAGGAGACAAGTACTCTGTCAGGATGGGGTTGGGGGAGCCTCAAGCATCCTAACCGTAAAATGGGGATTAGGAAACCAGCCTTACAGATCTGGTGGTGGTGAAAACAATAATGATAATAATAAAAATAACAAGTCAGAGCAAATACTCTGATTCTACATCAGCCGGAGATTCAAACAACTTTTACCCATCCGCAAACCCAGTGAGGTCAGTGCTATGAACATCACTCATTTTACAGATGATGCAATGGATGCCCAGAGAGGTTGAGTAACTGGCTCAAGGTCACACAGCCAGGAAGTTGGCTTCAGAGTCACGCTCTCAGCAACTGGGGAAAACTCTCCAACAAGGCAGAGGGACAAACAGAAACTGTGACAGAACCCAGGAGAGGGCCAAGGGCTGACTGTTAGTGCTCTGGGTGTAACTCATCAAGAACTCTTCAGTGGGGCTCAGCCGCTTTTATGGGCCTTGATTTAACTAAGGGGTAAAAGTTCCACTGTTGGGTAATGAGAGGTGGTGACCCCCTGGCCTCTCTTAGGCTTCCCAGCGAGGAGGAACTGTGGGCATTTCTCAAAGCACCTCCCCTCGGCCCCCCAATTCAGGAGTCAGGTAGAGAGACTGACATACAAACTCAATCTAGGTAGACAGGGTTCAAAGTTCAGCCCTATGACTTGGATGCTGTGTGACTCTGGGCAAACCCTTTTACTTCTCTGGGCCTCAGTCTCTGTGCCTCTTAAAATATCAACCACCCTGAGTGGGATGTTGAGGATGACATGAATTAAGACTAGAAATGTTCTTAGAATAATGCCTGGCATATAGTAAGCACCCATTAAATACTTGTTGATTTCATGGTCACCCCAGGAACCTGGTGTTTCATTCTGCCAGACTGACCATAATTGTACACCCCAGTTCAGAGATGAGCCGCAGCTAGGGTTATTGTGGCCCCCTTGAAGTTGTTTTCTCTAATTTTTTAAAAAAGTATTCATTTGTTGCCACCATTAACAAAAAAACAAAAACAAAACCCAAACAATCTCATTCCCAATTCTGGATTTCTGGCCCCTCCTGAGGGCTTGGCAGATCTTGTGTGCCAACATGGTAGGATCCCTCACTGTATAGTGTGAAGCTCTGGCCAAGTGAACGGGAGTCCTCAAAGCTCCAGGAGGGGTCTGGCGTACTGAAGGACACACAGCACGGCAGCAGCACCTGTGACTCTGGGTCTCAGAGACTGGCAGTCCTAATGCTCCCTGTGAGATGCGCATGGTCCAGACAGGAGGGGGAAGATCCCTTGCAGGGACCCAGAAAGGGCAGACCTGCCAGACAAAGCCTCCATGTCATGGGACCAGAACAAAGTTCCCAGGCATGCCTTTCAACCAGCAATGCCTCAGTTTCCTCATCTTTGAAGTCCATCACAGCAATAGAACAGCAAGAAGATTAAACAAAAGGATGTGTATTCAGTAGTTAACACTGGGGATCATGGGAAGTACCCCAAAAGGTTGGATGTTTGTTTTTAAAAAAGAAAGAATATATATCACTACTCCCCCTTTCTTTTTGGAGAACATCCAGGATCCTTTCCTGTGAGTAAACTGAAGTCTAGAGAGGGCCCAAGACCTTGTTGAAACTGGTGGCTCCATTCTGATTCCCAGGCAAAGCTCTCTCTGCTGTCACAGATCAGTTGAGAATTTGCATCCTTCAAACCAGAAACTGGGTGCAAATCTCAGTTCTGTCACTTCCTTGCTGTGCTTCCCCTAGAAATCTGTACGTTTCTGTGCTTGGTTTCTCTAAGTGTAAGGTGCTAACAGTAATAGTTCCTTCGCCTTACATCCCAGCACATGGCAAATGTTAGAGATTGAATTCTGGAAGGAGAATAAAAATCTGTTGGATGCCATGAACGTTTTCCCCAAAATTGGGCAGAGAGATAACAGGCTACAGAATTATTTCTTTTCAGGTATTTTTTCATTACTTTTTCTTTTGGTTGGTAGGGGTCCACCCCAACTCCAGTTGTTGGGAAGTTTTTCATTCAGTGGGGATTGGGTGGGGGTGAGAGCAGGGTTCTGAAGCCATACAACTGAGTCTGAGCAAATGGTTTAATTCTGTGCCTCTGTTTTTTCATCTGTAAAATGGGCTGCTCTGAAGATTAAATGAGTTTAATGCTGGTCAAGCGCGCAGGACAGCGCCTGCCATACAAGACGACACTCTACACTTATATTTTTTCAAGTATTTGTATATGGCAGGGCCCACCACCTCCAGGCCTCCTTGCCATCTGCTTTGGGGGCTACCTGCTCCCGGTGGGGACCCGAGCCCCAGCTCACCTGTGGTACTGAGCCTGCAGCAGCTGAAATTCGTCTTTGATGCGGTCGCAGGAGTCGGAGGTGGTGAATTTGAGTTGCTGGGGTAGGTGCGACGAGCCCTGTGGGTAGGGGACGGCCCGGGTCAGGGCCAGGCGGGCCGGACGGCCGCTCACTTCCCTCCGGGGCGCCCCGAGGCAGCAGCCGGCGCAGCTGCAGCGCCGCAACCCGCCCCCCAGCCCTGCCCCACTTCCCCGGCCCGTGTTTACTGCCCCTGGCGCGGTCCCCGCCTTCGCTTCCTGCCCCCGCCTCTCCCGGGGAAGCCGACGGGGTGGGTGCGCCCGGAGCCTCTCCGTCCCTCGCCACCTCCTAGGCTGTGGAGGTGCGCTTCAACACCCGCCCTTGGTGGGGGGCAGGGTGCGCCCTCTACTGCTGCTCCAAAGCGCCGGCAGGGGGGTGCACATCCGAGAGCCCCAACTACCTCCGGGAGGGGGGAGAGCGAGTTCTAGGGAATTCCCCCTCCCCAAGTAGGGGAGCGAGGCCTCCCCGCAAAGTCCCATTCGGGGAGGGGCCTCTCTCAGCGCCCGAAATTCAGCTGGGGGCCCCCACCCCAGGTTCCCGGCACCCTTCCTCCAGGCCGCACTCTTCCGGGAGGGGTGCGTCTCGAATCTCCTCCCGCTCCCAGGCCCCGACTGCAGGCCCAGCGTTAGAGGCGCCTAGTGGGGCTACCGGGGCGCCGGAGGCCAAGGCCGCCCGGGCCCTGCTTGGTTCGGCGGGGGCGGGCTGCAGGGTTTAGGGACTGGGGTGGAGTCCAGAGGGAGAGCTGGAGAGGACCCCGCCTGGGAGCTGGGGGCACTCCGGGCCCGGAAGCTGGGAGGGGGACAAGGAGCTACAGTGGGGGGGAAAGTCTGGGGAGCTGGGGGTGGGGTAGAGTAGCGCTGGGCCCGGAGCTGAAGGGGACCTGGCCATGGAGTTGGGGGGAGTCGCCGAGCAGGGAGCTGAGGGAGGGAGGGAGGGCGTAGGGCTCGGATCTGGAGGGGGATGGTCCGGCAGGGAACTGGGGGGCGCAGGGCCCGGACCTGGAGGGGGTGTGCCAGGCGAGGACCTGGGGGGCCCGTAGGGCCCGGAGAGGGGTGGGGGGGGTGGACCGGCCGGGAGCTGGGGGCTGCGCAGGGCCCGAATCTGGGGGGAGGGCGCCAGGCCGCGGGCCCCGCTTACCGAATGCCTGCTTTGTGGAAACATCATGTCAGTCGCTGCGGGGGGGCGCGGGCTGCGCCCCGGCTGTGCGCCCCGGCTCCGGCGCCTCGGGGCGCCGGGCGGCCGCGCCTTTGTCCCGGCGCCGATCAGCAGCTCCCGGGGCCGCCGCCGCAGCCTCCTGCGCCCGGCCTCGACCGCTTCCTGCGCCCCCTCCCCGTGCGCCCGGCCCCGGCGCGCCCCGGGCCCCGCTTCCTGCGCGCCCGGCGCCCCTCCCGCCGCCCGCCTCCTCGCACGCCGGGCCGCGGCTCCTATTGTCTAATGGCGGCGACGTCGGCAGTGGCCGCGGCCTCGGCTGCGCGGAGGCTCCGACTCCACCTGCTGCTGCCGCCCGGGCCCCGTGCGCGCCGCCGAAGGGGGGGGCGCGCGCCCGGGGAGGCCTGTGGATCCCCACCCAGCCCGCCTCTCTCGGGCCGCCTGTGCGGTGACCTTGGGCCTGGCTCAGCCTCAGCCCCCAGCCCCAAGCGCTGGGCCGTCACCCCTCCGGGCTAGGTAGCCCTGGCAGCCGCCTGGGCCTCGGTTTCTCTGTCAAAAAAGGGTCCCGGCGGCCCCCATCTAAACCACCCGCGCTGTCGGGGAGACCTGGATGCGTGCCAGAAACATGTTCTGTAACCTTGGCTTCCTGGCTGTTCTCTCTGAGCCTCATTTTCCTCCTTTGTAGAAAGGCAGGAGTCATACCGGCAACACGAATGTATTGAGCACCTACTGTGTGCCAAGCCCTGCTCCAGGACGTGGGATGCAGGTGGGGGCATATAAAGTCCCAACCCTGGTGGAGATGACTTGACAGACAAGAAACAAATAGTTGAGCCCAAACCCTGGCAGGTCAGATGGTGGTAACAGCTATGGAGAAAATAAACCAGGGGTGAGGGCCAAGAAGGTGCAATTTTAAACATGGCCAAGTCAAAGATGGCCTCCTTGTCCAGAAAAAAAATAAAGGACCCGAAGGTGATAGAGCCAATAGGGGTATGGGATATGGGAGCTTATTCAAGGAGACAGTAATAGCAAGTGCAAGGGCCCAGAGACAGCTCTGTTTTTGGTGCAGGGGAGCCTGAGAGAAATTGAGGCCAGGCAGGCAGCTTTTAGCATTGGAACAAGGGGCTTTCTCCCAGCATGGCCTGTGGGTGGGATCATGATTTGCTGTTCCAGCCTGGAAATTCCTAATTATTTTGAACAAGAGGGTTTGAAGTTTCATTTTGCGTTGGCCCTGCACATTCTGTAGCTGGTGATACATAAAATGTGCAGGGCCTTGTGGCCCACAGGAAGTACTTGAGGTTTTATTCTGAGGGAAGTGGGATCCATGGAAGGCAGATGAAGGATGGGACCGGACTTGGATTTTGATAGAATGTCTCTCCCCTTCTTGTGGAAATCAGGCCTCAAAGAAGCGGTTGAAATAATGCATGTTACTGCCCCAGCAAGTGTTAAATACAGTCTCTTAATTCTCATATCATCATCAGCTATGCAGCTTGCCCTCTACAGATGAATAACTTTTTGAGCCTTGGGTTTTCTCATCTGTAAAATGGAAAGTTGAGACCTCATCACTTTTCCTGGGCAGTTGAGGGGCTAAGATGAGGGTGAAATGAATAAGCAAAATATAAAGCCCCACCACCACCACCAAAAAAAAACCCCTTCAAGATAAGTAGTACTTTAATGCAATATTTTTTAAAATAAAAATTGATGCCAAAAAACTCACGATGATGGAAGGAACCTAGACTTTGGGTGGTAAGCATGCAATGGAATATACAAAGGTTGGATTATAATGTTGTACACCTGAAATTTATGTTATTAACCAATGTCACCCCAATAAATACAATAAAAATAAGTAAAAATACATGATGAGCAAAATGTCAACCTATTTAAAAAAGGATCGAGCTCTGGCCAGTGTGGCTCAGTTGGTTGGAGTGTTGTCCTATAACCGCAGGTTCGATTTCTAGTCAGGGGCACATACCTAGGTTGTGGGTTCGATCCCTGGTCTGGGCACATACAGAAGGCTGCCAATTGATGTTTCTCTCTCTTCTTTCCTCTCTCTCTAAAAGCAATTGAGGGAAGAAAAAAAAAAGAATCTGATGGGGCCAGAGAGGAGTTGCAAAAATGTAGGGCCTATCTAGTCCTCATGCTAAAGCAACAAACTTTTGGAAAGTTCTTCAATATTCCCATCAGGTTCTGGAATACATAGACTCTACAGATCATATGAAAGCCCCTGACTGGGACAAGCTACAGAATTTTGGGGGTCCGGGAAAAATGAAGATGTATGGCATCTTGTTTGAAGTGATTAGGAATTTGGAGATGCAAGGCCCTTCCTTGGAGAGGACAGTGTCCTGTTTGAGTGCATGAATTGCCTGTCCACGAAGCTGGCCCTGCCCCCAATACACACCTCCCACACACCATGGGGACCAGACACCCATTCTTCTGGGGGGCCACCTGCATCTGACCCTCACCTGGGTAGGCACTTCCCAGTATTGTGGCACCCAGTGACCAGACACCCCCATTTTAACAGCCTCCAGAGCTGATCACAGCCACTGCCAGCACAGTGGGGTCAGGACTGGGCCACAGGGAGGGACTCAGGGCTTCGCCTTTGAAGGAGATTAATTATTAAAAAGTAATTTTCAGAAAAAAAAAGAGCCTTTAGGCACATAGCAAAGCCCAGAAATGTGACCCAAACTATGAATAATAATAAATTAACCCACCTGCATGTGTTTTCACTACCATGCCAGTCGCTGCCTTAAGCATTTTAACTCTAGGTACTGCCATTATGGTGTTTGAATGAAGGGGAAATGAAGGCACTGAGAAGCTAAGTCATAGCTAAAAATCACGCAGCCAGTAGGTGGCAGAGCCAGGATGCAAACCCAGGTACTTAGACCCTTGACTCTGGGTTACTGCCCTTCCAGATGGGGCATGAGGCAGGGTATGGTGGGATACGGGCTGGAGAGAACCGGGCCCAGAGCACTGTAGAACCTGCCTCCGGACTGAGGAGATGGGATCTGACCTGGAGGGCACTGCAGAACCGTGGGAGGTTTCAGACCAGGGTTTCTGTCTTCACTGTTGACGTTCTGGCCTGGATTGTTCTCTGTGGGGGACTCTCTGGACACAGTGGGGTGTTGAGCGGCATCCCTGGCCCCACCCATTCTGCCAGGAGCACCTCCCCGTCCAGAAGCAGAAATGTATGCGAACATTGTTGGTTGGAGTGGCGGAGGGTGGGGGGCAAAATCATCCCCAGCTGAGAAGCCCTGGCTTAGAGTTAAGGAGAGAGACCACCAGTGCTGAGCGATACAGGGTTTTGCTGGTAGTGTGAATGGGGGAGAGCAAGGAAAGAGGCCAGTAGATCGGGGTTTGGGGGGAGGGAAGCCCAAACTGAGGTTCAGAAGAGGGGCAGGCTGGGCTGGGTCCACTGTGCCAAGGAGCTCTTTTGGACGTAGAAAGAACAGAACACAGCAGGGGAAGGAAAGGCAGGGTGGAACGCTGCAGCTAAGAAAGGGACAATTTTGATTATTTAGTTAATTTGGGGAGAATAGGAGCTTTTGAAGATCTTACAGTCTGAGCAGCTATCATTTCCAAACCCCTGGGTCCACATCCTGGTCTTTTCTCTCCCTGGAGTTCTCAGGGCCACATCTGGGACCAAACTGGAGCAGGGATCTGTCTCATGTCACCAACCATCTGAGACCAGCCTGGCTGCCTGCTTACAAATGAGTGCTGGGCCCCACGGCCTCCCGGGCAGAGCCAGGCGCTGGCTGGCAAGTGATGGATGGGGCTGTGTGGCCATTAATCACAGGCAGGGGAAGAAACAGGTGGCCACCATTAGGGCACGGGGACTCCCTCCGATAGGTCTGGCGGAGCTGGGGCCTCAGCTGTCCAGCTCTGGGTTCAGGCCTTGGCCTGACGTAACCTGGCTGGGTGACCTGGGGCCATGAGATTTTACTACTCTTGGTCTCCCCCACACCCACAGGAGTTATTATTCATCTATTCCCTCCATAAGTATTTATTGCACCTACTGTGTGCCAAGCATGATTCTAAGTGAAGGCTGACAGCAGTGGCCAGGAAGGACCGAAATCCCTCCCCTTGCAGAGCTGACAGGCTTTCAAAACTTGACTCAGATCCCATCCCTCCTTTGCCCACAGCCCTCCAGGGCTCCCAGTTCCCTTGTGGTAAAAGCTCAGGTCTTCCCCTTGGCCCATACAGCTCTGGACAACCTGCCCCATGCCCCACGCCCCTCACCCCACACCCTGCCCTACCCTCACCTCCTCCCTCTTTCTCCCTGGCTTACTCTGCCCCAGCCTCACAGGCCTCCTCTCTGTTCATCCAACATGCCAGGCCTTATCCTACCCCGGGACCTTTACATGGGCTGTGCTCTTTGCTCTGCAGGATCTTCCTCTAGATATCATTTCACTTCCTCCAGGTTTCGGCTCAGATATCACTTCCTTAGACAGACCATTGTGGAACTCCCTGAAATTTCCTGACACCATTCACTAGCCCTTCTATATGCCTCTTAGTAATAATATCTCTGCCTTTAGATTTCCATTTATAAGCTTATTACCCCTCTAGAGTGTCAGCAAGGCTTGGATTTAGTCTCTTTTCATTCCCTGCACAGCACTTGTCACACAGTAGGTGCTCAATGAATCTTGGTCAATATGAAACTGTCAGGGTTAGGCTGCCCAGTCAAAGCAGAACGCAGCTGAGTCAGCTGAAGCTGCTGTAACCAAACACCACAGACCTGGTGGCCTCTAAACAATAAACATTTTTTTCCCATAGTTCTGGAGGCTGGGAAGTCCAAGATCAACGGGCCAGCTGATTCCCTTTCTGGTGAGAACTCTCTTCCTGGCTTGTTGATAGCCTCCTTCTTGCTTTGGTGAGTGCTCTGGAGAGATCTCTCTCTTCCTCTTTTTATAAAGGCAGATCAGGGCCCCACCCTTACAACCTCATTTAACCTTACCTCCCAAAAGCCCCATCTCCATATATAGTCATATTAGAGGTTAGAGCTTCAGCGGAGATGTAGGGGGACGGAATGCAGTCCCTAGCACAGTTCTACTGCGACCTGCCCTTTCAGCTGGATGGAGCGCTGCTGTTGGGACACGACTGACTGTTGCTGTCTGTTCTGTCTGGAGTATGTGTCTTGAAACCTCAGGAAGGGATGAGGAGGACAGGCTCCATCTCCACCTGGTGCAAGCATAGCTGGGCAGGCAGGCATTTATCTGATTGCTACT